ACCTACTACTACCTACTACCTACTACCTACTACCTACTACCTACTACCTACTACCTACTACTTACTACCTACTACCTACTACCTACTACCTACTACCGACGACGGCTGCGACTACGATGGCTCCCTGAGCCGATAATTCAGGGGGAGTGGACCTCATGAGTGGTATCTCATACCTTCTTGACCTTGTTGACCTACCATGAGGGGGGGGGGCAGATTAATCCGGGGTTGACATTATAGGTGTCGCTCGAGAGGCCTTCGAACATCACCTTGAAAACAACCCTGGTGAAACACATGCAATAGGATTTCACAAGACCAAGATATTGTTTGAACCCCCAAACACATGTTGAGAGAGCTCCGTGTTCTGCGACGCAGCTGCGCGCGCACGCTGCAGCCCATGGATCCCGACGAAGAGGAGGAGTCGCTCTTCGATGAACCGGACGAGGCGCGCCCGAGCGACCGGACGGTGAGGGTCACCGGTGGCGTTGGCCCACAGCGTCCGATCGCTCCTAGTAGTAAGGCCAGGAGCCACGATCGTAGCTTTTGAATTGCCAAAGGGAACCGAAAGAACACATGTTTGCTCACGTGTGATCCCGCTTGGGGTTCCTCGCTTCATGGAGTCGGGGGGGCGCTGGGCATGGTACGCCCCCGGCCCTCGGCCCTCGGCCATCAACCAGTTCATCTTGTTAACAAGTGCATCGCTACGTTCGTAGCTCCTGGGCACTACTACTAGTAACAAGAAGCTAGTAGTGTTACTAGTAGCGATGCCCTTGTTGCTAGAATAATATCAAACTAATTTTGAATGCATGACCCAATGCCCATGATGACCGTGTGAAACTGACCTGCACCGGTCTCGTACGTTGGCCAGTGCAGTCTTGCCATCCGTTTCCTGTCGCCAAAGACCCGTTCTCGTCTTATCTCTCATTTTTGGGTCTTCACCTCCATTTGAAACGTTGGGGGTGGGATCTTCACCTCCTTCACGCCTCCTGAATCCAAACCTCTTGGTTCTTCCCTCCTTATGCCTCAGCGGGATTGTTTGGGGTCTCCACGGGTTGAATGCTCGCCCCCTGCAGGATTACCGTGCGCGCTGGGCACGACTGAAGCCCATCAGAGATCGAAGCCGGGGCTGCAGGGAGGGAAAGGGGGGGAGATCTCAGCAAAGAGCGAAGCATAGAAATAAGGTATAATAAGGCCATGAACAACTCGAACTTGGCCTTGTGCCACTGCTCAGATCAGTCCTTCAAAAGCAACTCTTCTCCAATTTGGTGCTCATCAAGAGCATAAAAAGCTGTGTTTTCTTGCGATTCTTCCATTTCTTGCAATGGCCGCCGCACATGGGATGGTTGAAGACCATTGCTATTAGGGTTGGAGGCCATTGCTTCTAGGTTGGAGAGGCCAGCTGATGTTGATGTCCCTTCTCATTCAGCTTCTGTGGATTCACTGGTGGACTCCGCACAGGTGCGGCGTCCCTCCGTCCGCGCGCCCTTCCGAGCCTGACCCGCAACGCCAGCCGAGGCGCCCGAAAAGGGTCGGAGAAGGGGGGCAACATGTGGTGAAGCCAGACCTCCTTTTTCTATCGGAGACTAAGATCTGAAAGTGATTCTGGTGTTTACATGGTTTTACTCACAAAACATTACGATATGTCTCGGATATTGTATAATTCGTGACAGTGTAAGTCAATACAATTACATGCTGGAATCAGATGCAAATGCAAGCTCACTGAGCCCATTACACAAATTACGAGCCGCAATGCTAGTTAGTGCAGCCGCCTAGCTTCCCAGGGGTACATTCTTCCTGCTCCGCGGAGTCAGGTGGGCTCTCCTCTTGATGCATTGAGGTCCAGCCGGACTGGGTGGGTAGTTGGCAGAGCAGTGGGTTTCAGCATGTTTCAGCAAAAACACCCATCCCAAGCTTTGTCGGTGACAACCCAAGCACCTTGGAAGTGCAGCTCTTTGTTTGGATGTCCATTGTATTTCTAAAGGGAGTCTTGAGGTTTTTGCCATCCATCTCGCTAGAAATGGGTGACGCATGGTCCCGAGTCGAGGTCCGAAGCAACATTGATGATCGCTCTGGTTTTAATTTCCCGTAGCTTCAAATTGAGAGTCTTGGCATTGAAGTCCCGGTTTCCGCTGGCAGCTGCAGCTTCAGCCAGCTAAGCTATGCACTCGAGAGAGGAGCCATTTTTGGACCTCACGGTCGAGTGAGTCGTTGCCATTTTTTTGAGATAGTCTCTCTGCGAAGCAGAGCAGAAGAGGCAGCTGATTCGATCTTTGCCTGTTGGTTCTTCCTGTCTTGAAAAGCATTGGACGATGAGACAGAATAGGAGAATGGAGGATAGTTGATAGTGTGTTCGTAATAATTGACAAACAGGTTTCGACCGTCAGAGAGAACTGTGCACAAGCCATGGCCGAGGAATTTGGGGATCCCCAAGGGATCCGGGATGAGTTGAAGCTCTGCAAAGCTTTGCATCTCAGTCTTGCCCGAGGGAGCAAGGCATGGCAAGGCAGCAAAAGGCCCTTTGAGCTCAACCCCTTTCTTGGTGACAAGTTGCTCTCGCCTGCCCTCCATTGGCTGTCACGGACCCTGAACATCCGGCACACAACCAGCCCAGCCCCGACTGGAAGCTCATTTGTTTTCAACTGGCTGGTTTGGGGGTTCATCTGCGGGAGTATTGACTATTCCGCTCGTCGAATGGACCATTACAGCTGTTTTTATTCGATCGATGTGCGATATTTCAATCACTTGTTGAGATCTAGGCTTGAGGATGCTTCCATGATAGCAAGATGTTCTTTGCAGCTGAACATCTTTTGTTCTCAGCAGGTGCTCTTGGACACTGACCCAAAGGGCAGTGTGGCAGTTTTGGCTCTTAGCTAGGCTCAATGTTCTGGCAAGCTCTGGCGGCACTGTGGAGGCCTTGGAGATTGGTGTTAAGGCTTAGGCGAACTCGAGAAGATGCGGAGAAGATCTACTCTTGTGAACTGCTCTACAGCCCAACCATTGTCAGTTACTGTTGGACCCTCGGACCAAAAACACTCGTTGCTATCGCGCAACCGGTCTGCGCCACCACGGACCGGTCGGTCTTCGTCCAAGGCGCTGCGAGGCTGAAGTCCTTCGTCCCTTGTCCCTTGATGAGGCGAAGTGCCGCTGGTGCCGCATCCAATCATTGAAAAGCGGCTGTGGGCAGAAACTGGGGGACCCTGTTTGACCACCGAACATGAACAGACTAGACTACTAGGGAGGTCAACATACTAATCATACTAGTACCGAGCTCTTAGGGGTCTGGGTGCTATGACCCACAGCCAAGTATGGAGTTTCAAACAGGTCCAGCAGACATGTCAGGCTGTGAGCTTTGTTACTAGTAGGGATGATCCCGGCCGCCTTTTAAGGATGCTTTGATGTCTTTGATGTGAACCGCCTCGTTCGATTGATGTCTTTAAGCAGAGTCCGAATCGGTTTTGTCAGGCTTATGGGCAGTTGACCCAAGAAGAAGCTGCTATCAACACCAGGGATTCTCCCTGCACTTGGGCTGCTTCTTCAAGGGTCAACAGCTGAGGGGCCTTGGCTTGGCGGTTGCTTTGGCTTGGCCACCCAGTGGCACAAGCGACGGTCAGATTGAATCCGCTCTCAGATTGAATGTGTCCTGCCTATAGTTGAATCACCCTTCCTTTTTCACTTCATTGCCTCACAGATCGCGGTTTGCAGATGCACAGCACATGTTCCGCTTGTTTGGTTCTCCGTCGTGTTTTGGGAGGGAGGAAAACAGAGGTCTGAGAGGGTCGAGGTCTGAGAGGGTCTGCCATAGTCTGCGGAGGAAGACCTGGGTCAATTTGGAATCACCAGGTCAAAGAGGGACTGGTGTTTGGTAAGGAATGAGGGAACCAACCCCAAGACCTTAAGAACCAGATGCCTTTGGATCCATTACGATCCATTTCCTCATTCCCTACTCAGCATGCAGTCAGAAGAGGGAACAGTTTTTGACCCCCAATCTCTCCTTTCCCGGTAGAGCGAGATAGAGCGAGTCCGTGGCACCCCACCGACTCTGTCTGGTCGCGGTCGCGGTCGCTGCGGTCGGTCGCGGTTTGGGAGAAGCGCCACTCAGCGGAGCTGCTCCGAGGCTCTGCTGCTCGGCTGGTCCGTCACGGAGCCGGGTCGCGGAGCCGGTCGGAGCGAGCTCGCTGGGCCAGAAAGAACTATGAGTGACAAGCAACTGATACTAATTTGCGTAGAAGATGTCTAAGTGTGCTTGGTGAGTAGCTTGGCTCCATGAAGTACAATGTGAGGATGTGCTGTCCAGAGAGTGTAGAAACGATTTCGTCTCCACTTCAGAGTCCGAGTCTTCAGCGCAGGAGAGGCTTGCACGCCCAAAGCAGCTTGGTCCCTCGCCTTGGATCAGGCGACCATCGGCCTGGATGGGTCGCTCCCGGGGTCATCCAGGTCTTCGGGGTTGAAAGGCGGATCGCAGTCCCACCCAGCTCAGTGGATCAGCTGATCACCGAACCTTTGGGACTCTTGCTTCTTTCCACCCCCACGAAGCCCGAACTGGTGAAGTTCGGAAGGTTAGCCTAGAATAGTCCAAGTGCCATGTATGTCATAGCCTTCAACCAAACAAACCCAGTGGTTTTACTACACTGTACACGACTGGGTGGTTGGGATGTGAAAAGTCACAAGTGTGCCGTAGATTGGTGTCACTGATTTTCGCCATCGTGCATCCCCAATGGCAAACATAAAGGTGGGACCCTTGTTGAGCAAATGTAAATGCACATTCCCACCTATTTTCGTTTCTGCGAGCACAGGGAGGCATTCTTTGCTGTGCTTGGCAGCTTCTGAAGCTCGATGCAAAACTCGAGTTTAACGGCTTTATCAAGTTTTGGGATGAACCCCTAAGCCCTAACAAGCTCTTCATTTCTACTACCTGGCAGGGAGGACTTTGCTCACAAAAATTGGCACCGCGTCCGAGTCTTCCTCATCGCGTCACGCAGGTCTTGGCCGAGCGCGCCCAAGTTCTTCAGGCACAGCTGGAAGGCCATAGCTGGAAGGAGTCGATGCGTCATGCTGTGGAAGCAACGATCATGTCCGGACTCAGAGATTCAGAAAGCTCACACCGAAGGTTCATACCTGTTTGTACTATAGGTGTTTAATGATGTATGTTTATACTATGTATATGTTGTGTTTCATAAGTGTTTCGAAAAGAGTCGCTCTGGTAAAAACAACCGAGTGCTGTGACCATGGCCCTACATCAGAAGCACAGTAGATGGTTCATGATGTTGGCCGCGGTCGTCAGCAAAAAATGACACCCCCCAAAAAGGCACCCTATTGTCGGGGAGGTCACTGCAAGGGGGGGACAGTGAAGGGATCCCCTAAGCCATGATGGTGCGTGAAGGATGAATGGATCCAGTTTGAAGGTGGCTGACACAAATGCCCACGTTTGGGCCACGGCACTGTCGTCGCATGACCCCTTGCGGCTAGGAGATCTTGCTATCAGGTGCGGTGGTCCCTTTTCCCGAAAGCCCGCCGTTGGGATTGCTCACACTCAATGACACTTGATGACTCATGGTTTTCTTCAGATCCAACATGGTGGGCGTCCCGAAGCATGGGCCCCACATGAAAGATATTGAAGATTTAAGAAACCGAACAAATCGAAGAAATGGACGATGGGCTTGGTTCCCCAACGAACATGATAGCCCAACCAGGCGGGATCAGCTTTTCTTCACGCCAGGGCCATCGTAGCTGCAGTGACGCTGACTCCAGTGACTCTAGTGCGGGCCCAGAGAAGTTGAGGTGAATTCAGTGTGGCACGTAGATTAACCAGCTCTGGGTGATGTACCTTGGCATTTCTGCAATCGAAACCAGACTGCAAAAGTGAGAAGATCCTTGTTCCACCAATGAAGAAGCTGGTTCCAGATGTCACGAGCCGCGCGGAGCTCAGCTTTGTACAAGGAGTCGCGCGCAGAGTTGGCTCCACTGCAAGCTCAATGGCGGCTGATTCATCGGCAGGGAGCTTGCGGCAAGATGACAGTGGCCAACAGCAGAGAGGCCTCCCAGAGCCAGACTGACTTTGTGAGTGGCTGGCTTGCTATGGTACGATCTGATCGAAGCGATGACGAGTCGCAGGTTTGATTTCCGGTTATACAGGTCTTCTTTGTTGAGCTAGGGCAATATACTGGGGGTTGGGGTGAGGAGTGAAGTCATCATTGCAGCTTGTCATGTAACCATGACCGAGCTCGCTGGAGTCTTAGGCTCAAAGTGTAGCAGTTGGACAAATAGTGAAGTGTTTAAATGCCCATCATGAACTTCACCAGCTACCACTCTGACATGAACACACTATAGTACTGTTGTTCCGAGCCACAAGCATGGAACCGCCGCCAGTGCCACATGATGCCGCATTCTGGCTGCCATTATCTACAGGCCAGAGGATGCTGTGTCTAAAGATCGATCCATCTGAGGAATTGCTGCAGAATCTTGGGATTTGCTTAAGGGCTCCACCTGTTTGATCGTGTGTCCCGGATTGGCGGAGGGATCCTGTACTTGCCCACAAAACGTAAACGTAAAAGCCAACCCTTGATCAGGAGCAATGTGGTTTGCTGGTTTGATATTTTTGGTAAAACTATAAAACGCTTTCCATTGCAGCCCCATACATAGCAACCCACGAGCCAACGACCCAGAATCATGTTCGCTTATTTCTCTTTTAAACTGTTTGTTGGACATTCCAAGCCCAGATCATTCCTCTCATTTGCTCAACAAACCGCCACAAAACCAGGCCGTCTTCACCCGTCTTCACTCGATCTTAGGAGCGCTTTCAATATTTTGGATGAGGCTTTGGCGCGTTTGGAACCCAACATCTCTCGACAGGAACTCATCGAAGAGGACGCCACTGCATCCTTGAGCCAGTTGCGCTCAATGGGAATTTGGCCTGGACCCCTGGCCATGGAGCGAAGAACCCATTTAAACGGAGTACTTTAGCGGTGAAACATGGGCATCAGACCCAACCATATGTTTTTGTATGTTTTTGTTCATTTTCTTTATCCCCTTGTAAACAGTCTTTCATCTCCAGAGTTCGAAGGAAAGACCAATTATCATCCCATCATTTCTTGGGCGTTGGTCAGTCCTTGACAGTTCGTTTTCTAGCCTTCGTGTACGGTGTGAGCCGTTCAGGAGAGGGTTTTGGCCTGAAACTCTCGATGGGCACCTCTGGCCCCTGTGCTTGTGGGACGGGCTCTAACCAGAAGCACCGGAAGCGGGTCTCAGCACTGTCGATGGCTCTAGCGCTCTTTGTGCATCACTCGTCCAACCCACAGGTCCCGACCATTCTTTCATGTCATTGCGGCCTGAGGCGGGAGGTAACAAAAACATTTGGGGAAAGGCAGCTCGTATAAAGTGAACCATATACTTGCAATGCACATGTGGAGGGGGATGTGGCTTGCAAGACACCAAGTCTCACAAGCTCCTGGTCAACATTTTTGTAAAAGAACCTGGGCCTGAACTATATATGGTTCATGATGGTTTATGTCATTGAACTCGCTTCCTCATACGAAAATTGTGCTATATCTCACCCTCCCCCACAACCCTGAAATGACAGAGAGAGAGAGAGAGAGGGGGGGAGGCATCAGTTTATTGCCTTAAAGACTTGGACGACTCCCTTACCTCAGACCCCTGGCGACGCTGTGCTACCAACGCCTTCATCAACCGATAGCAGACTTCGTCCGAGACCTTCCGCCACCGACACCGACACCGACACCCGCGACGCCGGCCGCGGTGCCGACGGTGGATCTGGCGCTGTTGAGCCCGGCCGAGCGGTTGATGGCGAAGGCCAGAGCCTTCGGGGCAGAAGATTGCTGTGTAAGGGATCCTTACATGACAGTGGATGAGCAGAAGCTCGAGCTGTTGGAGCATGTTTTTTGATTGGACAAGTGTTCAACCGACTGTTCTTTTTTGTTTCTGATTAAAGGCTCCAAGCAAGGCTCCATGTCGCTACCTTGGAGGTATCGATTAGGTGAGAACCTTAGGTAGCTGCCCTTTCATGGTTTGGGCGCTGCCGCTCTGGATTTACGGTGGTCTCTTTTTTGCGGCTGGGTCTGAGGGAGCCAGGGTGGCATCGCGGCCTTCGACGGTTGCGCCACCGCGCCCGCTCCTATCTCAGAGCTGGGGGAATCTGTCCTGTGGGCCGGAGATCGCACAGACGGACGCGCAAGGCAGTGGAGCTGCTCACGACCCATCACGGGTCACATTCCCCTACAGCTATGAGCCTTCAGAACCAGAAGTGGGATTGTCGGCATTCCAATGTCCGAATAACTTACATGCAGACGCACTGCACCAAGTGCCGTGGATGGTGGGAACAATGCAGCCGAGCAAAGTCAAGATCCCAGTTGCAGAAGAGAAGACGGGCTGCCAGCAAAAGCCAGAACAATACCAAGAAGGACGAGGCAAAGCCGTCAGAGACCCAGGGATCTATGCTGCCTTCTTTTATGAAGTGGGATGGACTGGGTCAACCATGGCAGAAATCGACACCAGATGGACGGCTTGCCAAAGTCCCGGTGGAGGACAGTCTCGAACTTCCACCACCACCACAGTTGCCGCCTCCTCCCAAGCCAGCCGACGAGTTGCAGGAGGTGGCACGAGAGGTCAGAGCTCACATCGAAAGCTTGCAGAAGAGCATGGGGTCAGCATTTGCCCCAAAGCTGGAGCAGGACATCATTGCCGCTGCCAAGGCCAATCCCAAGGGCCCCAAGCTGGAGATTACGCATACGGACCTCAACAAGGCCAAACAGGCAAGAAATCAGTACGATGCTGCCAAGGCTCAATTGAAAGAGGTCGATGGCAAGTGGTAACAGTTCAACCAAAGCCTGCAGATGGCGTACAGCATCGAGCACGAGGACTACCGCAAGAAGAGGGAATCTGCCTTGGAGGAGGTGAAAGCCAAGAGGGGACATCCAAGAACGCATCAGGACATCCGCCCTTCAGCAGGGTGCAGGGGAGGATGTCACAGAAGCTTCAGACGTACCAGAGTTCAAGCCTGGAGAGCCGGTAGACCTGGAGTCAGACGAGGAGCTCATGAGGGATGCAGAAATGGAGCACCAGCCCAAGGTGACCTTTGGTCGTGCACACAGATCACCGACTCGGCAGGGGGACACTCAGCTTGGTGGTATTCCGAAAAAAGTGAAGACAGAAGAAGGAACAAGCAAGTGAGGGCAGCAAGCACTCCGTGGCCTCCATGGGGATTGGGAGGCTCTTGGTTGTTTTGCACGCTGTTTCTCCTTGGGATGCTTCTTCAGGGACTTCTAAGAGGACCAGGTGCGGGCCTTGGAGATCCTTGGGAAGTGGCGCTTTGGCAGTGCTGCGTCCCCTTTTCCATGGATCTCTGCTCAAAGACAATGGGGAGGGCAAGCTTCCTCACGATGTTTCTTGGCACTTGGTCTCCTCAGGTTCATTTGGGTTTTGATTTTTGCTTGCATTTGCCTAGAGAAAGCTTATGGTGACTGCACACCAGTGGCTACGTATGAGCCAGATGGATTCTGGACTACAGGAGGTGCTGAGGGGGAGGATGGCTCACACCCACCGGCCGGCCCTTCCCCCCAAGGCAGCCCTCCCAACTGCCGCTGATGATGAGTATGTGGATGGGTTTGAGAAGGTTGAAGAGGTGGAGAAGAAGGAGGACCTTGCAGCTCTCATGCAGATTGCTAGGGGTTCCCCGATGAATTGGTATTTGCGCAAGCAGATTTTGGCTGCAGGCTTGTACCGCCTCTGGAAACATCCTTTCAATGCCCGCCACTATCCACAGAGTGAAGAGTTGAAAGGGGTCCCTGCCAGCTTTTGCACGACCCCCCAGCGCCACTTGCAATTTGTTCAGCCCTCAGGTGGTGAGAGACAGATTGCAGTGCAGGTTGTAGATCGTGTTGCTGACGGGCCCCCAATCCAAGGTTTGATCCTGTACCAGGACGAACACACTTACAGCTTGCCAATTATGACGCAGGTCGTGACAGAACACTTCGTTCTGCAAGATACCATCCTGCTGGAGCATTCCTATTCATCGTTTAGGATTGATTCCCGGCAACTTTTTGCATTTTGGGAGCCACCATGCAGATGTGAGGAAAGCGAATGCATTGTGGTACTTCCTGAGCGGGTGCAGTTTGGAGGCAACTTAATGGTTTGGGCGGGATGCTTTGTCAGAGTTAGGTGTGGACCGACCAGGATTGAGCAGGACACTGATGTTTCATCAGGTTCCACTGCCTCCGGTTCCCCTACCAACAGCTCTGATGAGGTTCCGTCAATAGAAGAAGAGCGACTCGAGGGAATTTCAGGTGATGCCTCATCAGAGTTCACTGAAGTGCAGACAGAGTCTCTTGAGCCTGATGTGTTTTCCTTCTTCCAGATTGAGGCCTTTCATCCGCAGTTAGAATTTCCTACTGAGAACTACCACTTGTCGAGAACACACACGCAAGTACGTGGTTTGGAGAGGTTGAACTTGGACGCCATGGCCTTTCTCTGGGCACAAGGGTCAGCGCCCCTCCTCCTCATCCGGCATGTGGACTACAGGATGAGAACATGGACCACTACTTGGGGAAATGAGATGAATATGGAACCGGGGCATTTGATTCTCAGAGTCCGGGCTGCTCTTCATCATGAAGTGCCGCCATATGAAGATCTGGGTTGGAGCGGTGGTTCCGCAAACGGATGATGCTTTGGGTGGACATCAAGACCATGTTGAAATTCCTAGTTCAAGGGCCGCAACGAGGTGTGCCTTCTCTTGTGGTGGTTCACTATGGCACTGAAGCAAGACCACAAGTTCGTACTGTGCCTGTTCGACGACCAGCCCGGTGACTTGTCTTGAAATCATCTCCCAAGCAGGATGTGCAGGACTTTGTCAAGCACCTTGGATGCATTGCAGCTGCTTCCTGGAGGGAGTGGCACCCTTTGGAACTGATCAGGTTCTCTTGCGGGGATGGCCGAAATTGATGTCTACGTGGAGGACCGGAGCCGGGCTTGTACACTAACACCACACAGTCCAAGTGATGCTGAGGAGGAAGGGGACATTTTTG